CAGCCGCGTGGCATGTTTTTCCTTCCTGGTTTTTAGGTTTCCTGTCTTATTTAAGAATCCCCCAGACCCCAGTGGTGCTCCCAACTTGTCTTGTATTTTCATAGTTTTCATTGTTCTCTTAGATTTTATTCCTTCTTGAATTTTTCTGGTATGGAATGTGCACCATGAAGGGCTCACCTGGATAGCCGACGTTTACCAATACCGTGTGGTAGAGAAACCATTTCCCCCTCCCCCCCAACTGAAGTGAAGTGCTACTTTTATCTTCTGTTAATTTCCTGTATAAAACTTGAAGGTGTTTTAGGATTATCATGTTTTTGTTAAGCATTGTGTATATCCTTACCGTTTTGTTTTTTTTTTTAAGTTTATTTATTTTTGCAGGGGCTGGGGGGGACTTGGGGTAAATAGAGGGAGAGAATCCCAAGCAGGTCCCACACTGTCAGCACAGAGCCCCATGCAGGGCTCAGTCTCACAGACTGTGAGATCATGACCTGAGCTGAAACCCAGAGTCGGACACTTAGCCAGCTGAGCCACCCGGGCGCCCCTCCACCCCCACCCCGTGTTTAATCACAGTGGCTTTATGGCAGATGGTAACGTACTGATAGAACGTTGCCTCAGTTCAGTTTTCCTTCTCTAACCTTTCCTAGGAGTGTTTCACATACCGGTTAGAAAAGTACTTAGGCCTCTTTTTGTCCCCAGATGCCATTTGCTTCTGATTGAAAATGACATGAGGTATACATCTTATTTCAGCAAGGATTAACATTTTTATATTAAGCATTCCTCCGGAAACAAAACGCATCTATTTATTCAGGCCTTGTTTTACATCCTACATCCTGTTTTATACACATCTTGTTGCCCTTTTGAATAACTGGCTGTTGCTGGTTTTAAAATAGTTATGCATAACTGTGACAAAATATTCTTAGCTCTGCTAGTTTGTAGTTAATTCTTTTGGCGTTTCTAAGTATACAGTTTATTTGTAAGGATAACCTGTCTCTGTATTATCTTGATCTCCATTTTGTACTTGTTATTCCATATAGAAGGAATAATGGTGACCACGCAGCTATCTGTGATTTCTAATAATGTCTGGTATTTCACAGCTTAATGTGATGTTTGCTGGGGCGCCTGGGTGGCTCAGTGGGTTAAGCGTCTGACTCTTGATCGCAGCTCGGGTCACATTCTCGCAGTTGAGCCCTGCATTGGGCTCTACGCTGGGCATGGAGCCTGTTTAAGGTTCTTTCTCTCCCTCTCTGTACCTCTCCCTCTCTCATGCTGTTTCGCTCTCAAAATACACATTAAAATATATATATAATGTTTGCCACTGGTTTTTTTATTGTCTTATTTTTCCTTTGTTACAATTAACAAATATAATAACATGCAAATATTCATTAACATTGTTAATGAGTTTAACAATTTGGGACCACCATCCTTAATAAGAAATAGAATATTTCCATCACCTTAGAATGTTCCATAGTACTAGATCTACATCGACACTCTCCCTACCCCTCCACCAAGAAAAGAGAAAACTAGTTTCTCACTTCTGTAACAGTCGATTTATGTCTCATTCAACAGGGCATTCAGGTATATCCATGCTGCCCGTAGTTCATTCTTTTTGCATTGTGTAGCATTCCGTTTTGTGAATACACCAGAGTTTGTTTATCCATTTTCCTGTTGATTTCAGGACAGTCATTTTGCATTTCGGAGCTACTATCAATGAAGCTTCTATGAACATACTTGTGCAAGTGTTTTGTTATAATGTTTTATTTATTTCTGAGAGAGAGAGAGAGGCAGCGTGAGCAGGGGAGGGTCAGAGAGAAAAGGAGACACAGAATCAGAAGCAGGCTCCAGGCTCTGAGCTGCCAGCACAGAGCCTAATGCGGGGCTCGAACCCACGAACCGTGAGATCATGACCTGAGCCGAAGTTGGACGCTTAGCCGACTGAGCCACCCAGGCGCCCCACAAGTGTTTTTGTACACAAATGTTTTAATTTCTTTTGGGTAAATAAAAGAAGTATTTTAATTTTATTAAAAAAAAAAGTAGAACCTCAAAGCAGTTCTACCAAGTGGATATACTGTTTTACACTTTGGCAAGCAGTGTATGAAAGTTCTCGTGGTTCTACATCCTTGTCAATGTTTGGTGTTTTCAGCCACCATTGTCGTGGGCGTGAAATGCTGTCTCAGGTTTTTTTCTTTTTAAAGTTCATTTATTTTGGGAGGGAGAGGGAGAGAGCACAAGCAGGGGAGGGGCAGAGAAAGAGGGAAAGAGAGAATCCCAAGCAGGCCCTGCGTTGTCAGCTCAGAGCCCAATGCAGGGCCCGAACCCATGAACCATGAGATTATGACCTGAGCCAAAATCAAGAGTCAGATGCTTAACCAACTGAACCACCCAGGCGCCTCCTGTTTGGTTTTAATTTTATATCCCTGATGACTAATGTGGTTGAGCCACACATTCATGTATTTTCTGCCCATTGGTATAGCTTTTTGTGGGAAGTTGTCTGTTAAAGTCATTAACTCACCTTTAAAAGATGCTTTGTTCTCTTTGTTATGATTTGTAACCGTTCTTTGTACAGTCTGGATACGCTTTCTTTGCCAGATATGGGTATTGTGAAGGCTGCCTCCCAGTCTCCATCTTGTCTTTTTTTTTTTTTTTTTTTAATCTTAGTGGTGCCTTCCAAGGAGCAAGAAGATTCTACATTTTGATGGAGTTCAGTTTATCAATTTCTTTCTTCAATTATTCTTGTTTTTTATGACGCAAGAATTTTTTGTTATTGCAGAATTGTGAAGATTGTCCCCTTTTATTTTCAAGGTTTATTTTTTTTTTAATTTTTAAATATTTATTTTTGAGAGAGAATGACAGAGAGCACAAGCAGCGGGGGGGGGGGGGGGCGGGGAGAGAGAGAGAGAGAGAGAGAGAGAGAGAGAGGGAGAATCTGAAACAGGCTCCAGGCTCTGAGCTGTCAGCACAGAGCTCGACACGGGGTTCAAACTCATGAACTGTGAGATCATGACCTGAGCCAAAGTCAAGACACTTAACCGACTGAGCCACCCAGGCACCCCTTTTTCCTAGAAGTTTTTAAACACTCTTATATATAGGTTTGTTATCTCTTTCAGGTTAACTTTTGTATATATGGGATGAGTTGGATTCCTCGCCCCCCCCCGCCAACTGGGTATTCAGCTTTTTATTTGTGAAATAGGCTTTCTTTTCTACTACTGAATTGACTTGATACCTTAATACTGACTGTACTATTCTTTTCTGTTTCATTTATTGATGTGGGGATTTGGGGTGCATTGATGTGAATTTCTGGTATTTGGGCTACATGGTCATCTTAAGAACATCAAGCTTTCCAATCCAGGATCATGTATTTCTCCGTTTATCAAAGTCTTCGTACATTTGTTCTGTTTGATTTTATGCAGAAGAACTTACTATAGCAATGATGCCTGGACCTTTCTTTAAAAATAGTGTGAGATTGGGGCGCCTGGGTGGCTTAGTCGGTTGAGCGTCCAACTTTCGCTTAGGTCATGATCTCGCGGTTTGTGGGTTCGGGCCTCACGTCGGGCTCTGTGCTGACTGCCAGCTCAGAGCCTGGAGCCTGTTTCAGTCTGTGACTCCCTCTCTCTGACCCTCCCCTGTTCGCGCGCTCTCTCTCCTAGAAATAAATAAATAAATAAATAACATTAAAAAAAAAATAGTGTGAGATCTTTCTGCAGCTCTGGATTCATTTTGTTTGAGACCTAGTATGAGTTTAATGGCCATTAGGTTAACGTCAAAAGCCTGGAATAATATTTAGAAAATGCTGCTGAAAGTTCAGTTTCCTACAGCCCTCAGTGGGTAGAGAATCCCCTCTTGAACTGAGGGAAAGAGGATAGTTGGGACTGAGAGAGAAAGAGGAGTAATTGCTCACTTGCTTGATGGAAGTGATGCTCATGAGTAGGAGGAAACCAAGTGACATAAACCCAGATTTTCTCTGATTTTAAAATATGGTGGTGAGGGGGGAGCCTGTCAGAGTGCTGACATTACGAAGCATTTGTCCATCTCTGCCAGCTACTTACAGAAGGAGGGTGGCCTAAGACTTTGCAGACTTGTGTATCTTCTGCAAAAAAAAAAAAAAAAAAAATGGCTTTGCTTTTGATGGAATAAAATGGGAGGTCGGAGGGGGTGGGGTACGGGCCCTTTGCAAAATCTGTACTACAAGATTCAAACTCTTTTGTATCTGAACTTAGAAGTGAGAGAGGGACTGTAGAGCCAAAATACCTCCTTCTAACAATTCCCTGAAGTTCTGCATATTTTTTATTGATATTTCAGATATCACACTGAATTCCAGTTAAGCATCTGGGAATGGTTATCGCGGAGAAGTGTCTTAGTGTGCCCTTAGCCTTAGCTAACAGTGATTATGAAGAAGTCTTAAATTTTTTTTATCTGGGGATTTTTTATTTCTCTCTCTAGTATTTATAATTTAAGGACCCTTTATTTTAAACTGTTAACCTAGTAGCCAAGACTTAAATAAATCTCTGTCTTGAAATCCAAACAATACTTTTTTAATAATATACTTTCTTCCAAACTCTGTGCTCTTAAAATTGGTTTTGAGAATTTAACTGAAAGGGTCACCCTGCCTATTGCTATGAACTGTGATTGAATGAAGTTGGTTTGTTTTCCCCTGAGAATCACTGTGAAGGGACAGAGAGTGTCCTGAAGAAGCTACAGTGGCCCGAACCGAATTCGACCCTTACACCTTTTCTTGTGTGGGAGATTTCCGGGCATTTAAAAAAAAAAACTTGGTTTCAAGGAAACTTCTGGACTCTTGGCTAACTAACCAACTTTAATATGGTCCCGGGCCTGTCTGGGAGCCCCCGGCTGGCCAGAGCGGGGTGTGGGGTGTTCGCGTCTGCATGCGCTCATCCCTGTAAGGGCGCAGAGTACCCAGGGCCGCACGCCCCTGGGAGACCGGCGCGTGCGGAGGATGGAGAGTCACTCTTCTCCCGATGTTTCTCTTCCCCCCGCCGCCTCAGGGTAACCAGGAGCCGACAACAACTCCTGACGCCATGGTCCAGCCGTTTACGACCATCCCGTTCCCGCCGCCTCCACAGAACGGAATTCCCACAGAGTACGGAGTGCCGCACACTCAGGACTACGCCGGCCAGACCAGCGAGCACAACCTGACGCTGTACGGGAGCACGCAGGCCCACGGCGAGCAGAGCAGCAGCCCGCCCAGCACGCAGAACGGCTCCCTCACGGTACGCGGGCCCCGGGCCCCGAGCGGGGAGGGACGAGGGCCTGCCGCGGCTCCTGAAACCTTCGCCTGCGTCGCCAGGCCGCACGGCCCTTTGAATTAATGACGCCACACGGCATTTCTGTCCTTTTCGTTTCTACCCCCGGCGCTGTCATTAGCGGGTGAGCGCTTAGAATCCGAGCTCGCGGCCACCGCCCAGGAGCTTGCGGCCCGGAGACGGACACACAACACGGCAAGGCGAGGGCACACGTGGGGGGCGCTGCTCTGGTCTGTGTCACCTGGATGCGCCTTTGGCCGCGCCGGGGCGGGGGAGCGGGGAGGATCGGGTTTTGCGGCGCATGCGCAAGGGCTCTCCGTCTCTCGGCAGCTCTGTTCTGCGCTTGGCCGCCTGCCGCCTCCTGGAAATGCTCCCTAGGCTCAAGTCCTCTCTCAGTCCCCTTCGCCGGCTTCCCTTTAGGCCTGCACCCCCACCCCGTCCCCTTATTTTGTATCGAGTCTCCATACATAATTACCCTAAGTTCTCCTTGCTGCCCAAGCAACACCCATGAGTCTTCCCTGTTTCTTTCAAGGCTCGGAAACCATAGCTCGAAGCGTTCCCGGATTTCGGCCTCTTGTCTGTAACGTAGCGCCCCCGCCGCAGAGGGTGGGTGACCCCAGCTCTTACGCCAGAGTTGAGATGGGCCCTGCCTAGCAGTACGGTTTTATTTAGTCTCTTTCTGCTTTGGCTCCCTCAGTGGTGACCAATCTGTATCTGGAAAATGAAGACAGTAGTACCTACCTCAGAATGACTGTTAGATTCAAAAGAACTTAATTCATGTAAGGTGTCTTCCTCGCCCCACGCCCATCACTTATTCCCTGTGTCACTGCTGCCCATAACTCACTTAACCCCTTCACCGTTTTCTAATGCAGATAATGTTATTTTCCCACTTAACTCTAACAGTTCCCTAACATATTTAGAATAAAATCCAAACTCTGTACTTGGTTTACTAATCCCTGGCCCTAGCCTACCTCTTTGACTCTGCCTCTTAACCACTGACTTCCTAAAGTAAAAGAAATGTCAGAAATTAACCAGGAGATACCTATTAACATACAGGAAGGAAGTCTTATTGTCTGTGGGATTATGCCATCCGTCTCCAAAGATAAAAATGTTCTATATCCCAGGTAGAAATATCTATGTCGAATGTTTAAATTTCTTTTTGCCCTTCCTGTTTCACATTGTCAGGAGAGCTTTATTCAGCCTTTAAAACACTTGACATGATTTACTTCCCAATAAAGAACCGTAGAGTAGAAGCTTTTGTTGCGGAAGGCTAGATTTCACCTTCAAATACTTTCCATTTTCTTTTATTAGATATTAGACCACAAAGAAATCCATTCCTTCCTTGAAAACATGTTATCTTTTCCATGTTGATCAGTTATAGCTAAGCACCTAATTTTATACTTCATAAGTAATGGACTGTAGTAGACAGTTTATCTAAAATATGCTATGAGGATTCTATAGCATTTGTTCTAGAATCATGAATATACCAGCTACTAAATTGGCTGCATTTCCAGATCACTTTCAAATGATAATGAACTCATAGACTTGCCAGAACAACTGTGCAAAGAAGGAATAAAATATAAGTCTGAGGCTTTATCAAGGTATTTTAATTACTAAATCTGTTTCTCTACTAGTTATCTGTCCCTTTTTTCCTTTTACTTCTATTTTCTATTTCAAGTCAAACCAATTTTGGTAATTTTAGAGTTGTTATGAGTTTTTCTTTTTCATCTAAATTGTCTGTTTTGTTGGATATACTGTAATATATACATAATTATAATTTATGTTTATAAATATGTATTATTTAATTATAAATTTATAATAATTATAATTTATAATAATAATAATCCATATGGTCCTTTTTAATTTCTATAGCATCTGTAGTGATATCCCTTCTTTCATTCTTGATTTTGCTAATTGTGACTTCTCTCTTTTTTTCTTGGTCAGTCTAGCTAAGGTTTATTAATTTTGCAGATCTTTCCAAAAAACATCTTTTGATTTCATTGATTTTTTTAATCTATTGTTTTTCTCTTTGATATTTCATTGAATTCCATTCTGATCTTCATTATTTCCTTCCTTCTACTAGCTTTGAGTTTGATTTGGTCTTACTTTTTTAAAGCCTGTTGAGTTGCAGCCTTAAAGCATTGATTTACATTTTTTTTTCCTTTCTAATGTGTGTTTAAAGCTATACATTTCCCCTTAAGTTTCCCTAAAATGGGATATATTGTGTTTTTGTTTTCATTTAAGATATTCTTTAAAAAGATATTTTTAAAGTTTTCCTTACAATTTCTTCTTTGATCCTGGGTCACATAGAAGTGTTTTGTTTAACTTCCAAATATTTGAGGATTTCCTAACTTTCTTTTGTTAATTTGTAATTTAATCCTATTCTGGTCACAGAGCATAACTTTGTATGATTCAGTTTTTTAAAACTTACTGAGACTTGTTTTATGGCTTAGTAAAACGGTCTGTCCTGCAGACGGTTTCTAACCAGGTGGCCCTTTTATCCGCAAGAAATGTCGCTCTTTGTCTCTGCCATTATTTCTTACGTCTGTTTTGTCTCATATTAATATAATCACTTCAGGTCTCTTATCATTACTATTTGTATGACATCTTTTCCCTTCATTTTGTCTCAAACTCTTTGACTCTAAGGTGTGTCTCTTGTAAAAAAAAAAAAAAACAACAACTGGATCTCACTTTAAACAATCTAAAACTTACTGCCTTTTTATCAGTGTTTAGTCTATTTGCATTTAAAGTAATTGTTAATATGGGTGGATTTATGTGTGCCATTTAACTACTTGTTTTATGTCTCATGTCTTTTATTGTTCCTCTGTTCTTTCTCTCCTGATTTCTCTTAGTTAATTATTAACTGAACCTTTTAAACCCCTTTGTGATATTTAAATTATTTGTGTTGTTATTTATATGTTTTCTTAGTTCTTGATCAAGGATTACATCTTCAACTTAAAACTTACCAATGCACTTGCTGGCTTGCCGTTTGTTTGCTTACTTGCAGACGTGTGCCCATGTGTTCGTGTTTGCGCACGTGTGTGTGGGTGTGTAGGTGTCTTACTCTGGTAAAATATAGCATCTTCAGTCCTGATACAGCTTCATTCCTCACCATCTTTTGTGTTATTATTCTCATATGTATTATACATATGAGGCCAGTTGTGTGCTTTTTACAAGAGACACACCTTAGAGGGGCGCCTGAGTGGCTCAGTCGGTTAAGCAACTGACTCTTGGTTTCGGCTCAGGTCATGATCTCACGGTTTCATGGGTTCAAGGCCTGCATCAGGCTTTGCACTGCCAGACTCTCTCTCTGTCTCTGTCTCTGTCTCTCTCTCTCCCTGTCCCTTCTTCCCTCCTCTCTCCCCCTCTCCCTCTCCCCTCCCGCCACTCTCACTGTCTCTCTCAAAATAAATGAATAAACTTAAAAATTTGAAAAAAAAAAACATACCTTAGATTCAAGAGTTTGAGACAAATGAAGGAAAAAGAAATCCTGCAAATAGTAAACATAAGAGAGCTGAAATCGTTGCTTATATTAATATCAGGCAAAGTAGATAAGAAATATTGGTGGAGACAAATATATATTACAAATTCAACAAGGGGTGCCTGCTTGACTTAGTTGGTTGAGCGTCTGACTCTTGATTTTGGCTCAGGTCATGATCCCAAGGTCATGGGATCGAGCCCCCCCCCCCCCCCCCACTTAGGGTCTGCGCTGAGATCGAGCCTCCTTGAGATTTTCTCTGTCTCTCTCTCCCCTGTTCATGCTCTTATTTTCTCTCTAAAATGAAAAGAAATGCAACAATACATTATTGTAAATATTACTTTAAAGAATTTTGTATTTTCAAAAAGAGTTACCATCTCCGGTGATCTTCATATCTTCCTGTGGATTTGACTTAAAGTCTGATATCATTTTTTTTCAGCCCATAGGACAGCTTCTGGTATTTTTTGTAGAATTAGGTCTGTTTGAAACAAATTTTCTGTTTTTTGTTTATCTGAGAATGTCTTTATTTTGTCTTCAGTTAGGAAGACTAGTTCTCCTTGCTGTAGAATTCGTGGCTGACCCTGTCTGCACCACTCACTCCCCAGCACTTGAAATCTGTCCTCCCACCGCCCTTCTGCCCCTGATGGGAGCCAGCTGATTCCGATGAGATGTCCACTGTTTATCCAGCTGTGCCCCTTCCTGTGCCTAAGGGTTTTTCTCTAGATTTTTATTTCATCTTTGGATTTGAGCAGTTTAACTCTGATGTGTCTAGGGTGGATCTCTTTGTTTTTATCATCCTTGGGGATCTGTTGAGTTTTTTGGATCTGTAGATTAATATTTTCCATCACATTTGGGCACGTTTTTGAACATAATTTCTTCAGCTACATGTTCTTTCCCTTGTTCCTCTCTTCTGGGACTTTCACCACCAATACATTGGGAATTTTTTCTTCACCCACAGGTTCGGGTTCTGGTTTTTTGTTTGGGTTTCTTTTTTAAAAATTTTTTAATGTTTTATTTATTTCTGAGAGAGAGAGAGAGACAGAGTGAGCAGGGGAGGGTCAGAGAGAGAGGGAGGTACAGAATCTGAAGCAGGCTCCAGGCTCTGAGCTGGCAGTCAGCACAGAGCCCAACACAGGGCTTGAACCCACAAACTGCGAGATCATGACCTGAGCCAAAGTTGGACGCTTAACCAACTGAGCCCCCCAGGTGCCCCATTTGTTTGTTTTTAAGTTGGGTTGGAACAGAATCTAAAATTCTGTTCAGGGGTGCTTGAGGGGCTCAGTCGGTTGGGCATCCAACATCGGCTCAGGTCATGATATCACGGTTCGTGGGTTCAAGCGCCACGTTGGGCTCTGTGCTGACAGCTGGCTCAGAGCCTGGAGCCTGCTTCAGATTCTGTGCCTCCCTCTCTCTCTGACCCTCTCCTGCTCACGCTCGCTCTCTCTCTCTCTCTCTCTCTCAGAAATAAATTAAAAAAATAAAATAAAAA